AATATATTTTCATAACTGTCATAACTATGATTTTTAATGACTTTAAAACAACCCACGGGCTGCGCTCAGTGACGTGCCTGTAATCCTAGCACTTTGGGAGGCCGAGGCAGGAGGATCACTTGATCCCAGGAGATGGAGATCAGCCTGGGCAACAAAGTGAGACCCCGTCTCTACAAAAAATAAAAGGTTAGCCAAGTGTGGTGGCACACACCTGTGGTCCCAGCTACTTGGGAGGCTAAGGCAGGAGGATCAAATGAGCACAGGAGGTCAAGGCTGCAGTCAGCTGTGATTACGCCACTGCACTCCAGCCTGGGTGACAAAACAAGACCCTGTCTTTAAAAAAAAAAAAAAAAAAAAAATCTCATGGAGTTAACGTTGCCAGAGCCCCTATTGCTTAGTGTTTAGGTTATTTTCAGATTTTGCTGCTATACGTGATAATACGATGAATACGTTCATGCATTTTATTTCTTTCTTCTTTGAATTATTTATTCAGAATACATTTGCAGGGGTGGAATGAATGGATCAAAGTGTATGAACACTTTAATGGCTCTTGGTACATATTGTCAAATCGCCATATTTGTATTTTACACAGTTCCTCAGTAGTATGCTAGTAAATGTTTAACAACATGCTTGCCCCCTCCGCGCCCTGAAAAAAAAAAAGGTAGGGAGCCTGATTTACTGTGTTTGCTGATTTTCACAGTGTAAATACTTTTACCATAGCCAATTTCAAGCCACCAACATGACATCGCTGAATGCAAAATTGAAAAGAGATGCTCAGATAGCACATTGTAATACAGCATTTCCATAATACAGATAAAGAGAAGTCAGTAACTTCAGTGGCTTGGAAAATTTCTGAAAATATGACAATCAGCACTTGTAAGCGAGCCTGTTCTAGAACACCACTGTAAACATCTCCCTTGATATTTTGCAAGAGCACATCTTTTTTTTTTTTTTTTAATTGAAATCATTGAAATTTCACCCTGTTCCCATCTGTGTGACAAACAATGAGCATGCTTTTAGGTCCACAGATGATGCAAATAATGAACAAAATCTAATGCAAAAAAAAGGGGGATAGAGTGAACATCTAATGCCTGTCTGGGTTGAATAATTCCGTCTACCCACCCTCAAGCATTCATTTTACGGTGTTTTTTCCGTGAGATCATGTATACAAACGATTCGATCATTTGTTTACTTAACGAGGCACTGAATGGATGACTGTATGTAGTTCTCAGGCAAATGTGATGAGACCCGTATCTTCTGTTTCTTAACCACTCTCTTCCTTGGTTTTCTTTTCTACGAAATGAGGAAGAGGTCACTGTGACTTCTGTCTTACGAGAAACTGAGTGCAGAGATAAGAAAGGTTCAACTTATGCTCTAAGAAACACTTGAACATTTAGCAATGCTCTGGAAATTTCTTCCAAAAGCAATTCATTAGCATTCTATTTTACCAGAAAAGAATGTGATTTGGCACTTTCTTGCTTGAAAGCAGCTTCCCCTCTTTGGACTGCCCCGGAATAATATGTAGCTTCTAGATGTATACAACACTTTGGTTTTTAAATTAGTGGCGCCCTATGTTTGCATGTTAAAAGGTAGGTATGACTGAGCTAAACATCCTCACACCTTTGACCCAGTCACCCCACTCCCAGTAACTCATCTCAAGGAATAAATTCAAAACAAAGGAAAATACTTTCCGTGTAAAAATATTAATCACAATAGAGAATAGATCAATTTGCCTCATTTCAGCACTATTCAACTTACAGCTTCTGGGGCCCTGGTAGGAGAGTTCTGGATTTCTGGTTCCTCAATCCCCACCTGTAAAACGACCACTTTCCAAGTTGTTCTAGGGCTTGCATTTTTTAATCACACAGATTCCCGGATCTCATGTGAGGGTTGGGATATGAGACATGGAATTTCAGTTTCTTAAAAGCTCCCCAAGTGGTTTTGCTGTCCAGCCAGCTTTAGAAACCACTATTCCACACTGAAACAACAGACACATGATCATTATCGCTGACCAACTGTCCACATCCCGGCAACAGCATGAGAACTTCTTGTGCAAGTCGTCAAAAGGTTGTTCAGGGCATTCAAGCAGTTGCTAGAGTCAAACGGCTACAGAGCCACGGAGGAGCCCTAAGTTTCAGGCACCCTACCACCCCCCTGGGTCATCCTTTCCATCTCTGACACCCTCCTTGCTCTCACTGCCCACCCCAGCCCCCTACTCTGTCATGCTGCCTCCCAGCCTCCACCTGTGCACCCCATCCTGACTTGTGCCCATCCCTTTTCATACACAAAGCTCCAGAGTCTCCTCCCTTAGGACACCAGTGGGACTCCAGAAGGAACACTACCACTGTTTGACTCAAGTCATCTGCGCACATAATTAGGAATCCCCTGCACAATTAACACACCAGGTGGATTTCCATTTTTTATAGGAGGCTTTTAATCCAAAAAATATGTATAACCTAGAGAGTGGAATGGGGAAGCAGGATGCTTTTTAATCTTGGCTTTCACCTAGATCCAAGCATCCTGAACCCAAATAAGCACTTAATGCCACAACGATCCCCACTCGTAAGTAGAAATGGAATTTTAGTTGTGCTTTGTTAGCACCAAAATTAACACGTTGTAAGATAGAATAATTTAATTTAAACTGGGCAAGGAAGAAAGGTCGCGCTCTCTGCCTCTAATGAAAATCACCTCTAGAATTCCACCCAAGCATTCAGAGAGCAACATCAAACAAGGAGGCCCACAAGTAATGCAGCAGCTACTCAGAGGACCTCTCTCATAAGCTAGAGAAACTGTTACAGAAAGGTTTAAAATAGCAGTTTCCAAGCTTGTTTTCCTTTCTTCATATGTATTCCCACTAGAAAAACATCCAACCCTGTGCCTTGTCCATATTTGGTGCTCAAAAAATGTTAATTCCCAGTCTCCACCTGTCACCCCCCACTTTCCCTGGAAAGGAATGTTGGGATTAGGAGAATGTTGGGATTTGCAGGCTTCTTGCTCTTAAGCCAGGGCTCATAACATCTTCATTTATGTCAATAGCCAAGTCCTTAAGAAGAATCATAAGCGTTGTATCTATTGAGAGATTTTTTTTTAATTAGGCACTAGGCTACATGCTTTACATGTTTTTATCTCATTTGATCTCTGCTACAACTCTCTGAGGTAGGTATTTTCAGTTATTATTAGTGTTATTTGAGTTATTTTGTGAATTTTTTTAAAAACTCTGAGCACTGAAGAAGTGAAGTAACTTGTCTAAAGTTCCCACAGCCCAGAAATGATGGAATGGGGATTCAATGCAAAGCGATCCGGTTCAAAAGTTGGGTTCTTATTCACCATGCTGTATGTTTGTTATTAAATGGGTTCAGATATTTTATGGTCCAGAAAAATAGTGTCTGAATTATTACCATCTACTGACTCTCTAAACAACATCCAGAAAAAGAACAGAAGCATACCCGTGCCATCTCATTTAGACATGCAAAGAAAGTAACACGTATTTCATGGAATTTGGGGACTGGCTTTTGAGGAATAGAGACTTGCTTATCATTCATCAACCAACTCGTCCTCCCAAGAGGAAGACCACTTTAATTCCCGGATAATTGAAAGGCCTCCTTAAAATGTAGAAACCAGAGGTGGAGGTCTTACCTGTACCCTGAGCCACACGAACCTTTCTCTGTGTAAATGATGTCCCAAGGGAAGACAGTAGAGGGCAAATGGAGGCCCACAGTCAGGTGTACGGATGCAGAAAGCAGCCCCAGTGGGAAGAGGCCACACTCGACAAGCTTCCTCTCACGTGGAATTCTGCTAGTGCCGTGAGAGCCGAGGAGGCGCAGCCCAGGGCAGAGGGAGACCAGTGACTATTGAATGGGGTCACTTCTCCCCAGTGCCTGCAAGGTCCTCCCTTTTGCGTCCACACCCTAACCGTCTAATCTGATTTCCTGCAATGTGTAACACAAACTATCTTCTCTTCTCCAGTGTCTCTTCAACTGGCCTTATCATCTCCACGTCAGCCTCGCCTTTGTGCCTTTGCCCACAAGGTCCTCCTAGTCTGAAATCACCTTCCCCTTCTTCTTCTACCAACACTTCGCATCCTTTCAAAGCCCAGATCTTCCCGACAACTCCAGTTTGCCCCCAGACCACCTCCACAGAATTCACAGAACTCTTCAAGCCTGTGCTCCCCACTCATCACTGAATTCTCATCTTGCACTGCTTCCTAAATTTTACTTCTTATCACGACTACTAGATTATACGGCCCTTCGAAGTAGAGATTTTAAAAATATTTTTCTTATATCCTCCACAGCACCAGCTTAGAACCAGTAAGGGATCACCAACTATTTGTTGCCTGCTTGAATACTTCAATGGCAACTTTCATTTAGTAAAGCACCTAAAACCGGTGATTTCCCAAATTTTGTTTAGTTACAACTCAGGCTACTGACTGGTACCTCATAGCATATCTCCAAATCAAACCACCTCAGAAGAAAAATTTAATTTAATTAAAAACTACATGTTATACAACACAGAGCACTTTTGGGAAATGGACATTAGCATTGGCAAGAGGTGAAAAACACAAGCTAGAAGTTCCAGATTGAAATCTACATCATTTAGAATTTCGGTTCTGTTTCATTTCTGAACTAGACAACTTTAAAGTTCAGATTTGCACAACTTAGTCTTTAGATTTACTTCATCAAACCTTGGGTAGTATTTAAACTACCCATACAGTTGAGCCCAGCCACAGTCAGTCACAAGCATATGCATTCTCTAGAATATCTGGAAAATCAAAAAGCCAACGACTGTAACTTTTAATGTTTCAAAAATCTTGTTAGGACTGTGGTGAGGGGCAGTGAATATCAAAGCAACACCCCCCGTCGGTCCCACTATGAATTGGTTCTACACCTTACAGCAGGTAGATCAGAGTTGTTACAACGTTTGGCCTAGAGTAAAAGCTAAACAAAATTAGAGAAATTTCTTTTGACACCAAAGAAATACTTTCAAAGAAGCAAAATCCTTACCTGTTGCAGAACGCCGAAGGAATTTCTTGACAGTAAAATGACTGACTCCGGAAATCAAATTTGTTCAGCAAAAGGATGTGAAAACAAAAGAGGCCCAAGCCTTTTCACTGTGGTTGATTTCCTCCTAGGATTAACCTCTCCCTCGCTCCCGAGAACGTTAACTGGTTCACACTAGAAGAACTGAAAATACAAGAGTTGGGCTGGCAGGGAGTCCACCCCAAGATGGCTGGGTTTAGTGTGCGTGAGGCAGCAGGAGCAATCCGAATGTGACAAAAGAGATTAGCAAGTTCCTGTGCCTAAGTCAGTTTCCTGTAGCCGGCTTCTCCGCAGAGGGGGTTTCATTTGTGTGGGTTTAGGGGGGTGTGTGTGCACGTGCGTTTCTCTCCATTAGAATATGAAACTTCCCCAGATCAGAGGCAGAATAAGGCCTTTGCTGCACCGCTGGGTTTGCGTTGAATTTATCTCCCACCCCACTCTGAGACTGTATTTCTCTCCCGCTTCGCCCCATTTTCCTCCAGCAAAGCCCTACGTAAAACTGAAGAATGGAAGACCGAAGAGTCCAAATGATTCCTCATGGAAGTAAAATTACAAAAAAAAAAAGTCCACGCCACTGATCCGTCTTGGTTAATCCGAGCTTAGGAAACAGCACCTTAGAACCTTCCTCACATCAGCTCGGGGAAAACAGGAGATGGGTTGTCTGCCTTGCTTTGCTGCATTAAAAACTATCAAATAATATTTTGCAAAGAACAGGCTTAGTAAGAGTTCAAGCAGCCCCCGCCGTGCGTTCACCCCTGTGTGGATGGGCACCTGGGCTGGGAGGTACCTGGCGATGAGTTGCTTTTTCAGACTCCTCAGAGTTTCGTTATTTGCCTAAAAACACAAGTTTACTTGTTTTGTCCTAATGGGCAATCCAGGTGTAGAGACCATCTGCAACTACTCAGGTTACGGCTAAACGCCTAACCCAACAAATGGAACTTTCGTGATGTGGTCACACCCCCCTGTGCCCCAAATCCCTGACTAACTGTTGATGCTACTGCTCACGGTGATAGCTGGGTCAAAATACCTGCCGGCCATAAGGATAAAATCAACTCCATGCCTTTTATTTTATTTTATCAGTGCATTGGCCCCACACTCAAAGATTTGAGTTTAATTGGGCTGGGTGGGGACCGGACATCAATATTATTTTAAACTCCTCTGATTATTCTAAAGTGCTGCTGCCACTCTAATGGATGAGAAGGAGGAAAGAACATTCCAAGCAGAGGCGAACAGTACATGCAAAGGCCCTGAGGTAGGAAAGAAGTTGGCATGTTCAAAGAAGTGAAAGCAGATGAGTGTGCTTGCAGCACAGTTGTAGAGGGAATCAATGGTACGAGGTGAGCATTCTTATCAATAGACACACAATTACCAAGTTCACAAGACTTTCGTATGAACCCAAGTGTCAATTTGTTGATGCATAGTAAGAACTCAATCTGCCAGCTGAGCTCCTTGAGCCTTCTGAAGAGCACATTATCTCCTAGAAAATCCTCTGTGGGAGGCCAGGTGCGGTGGTGGTGGCTCACACCTGTAATGCTAGCACTTTGGGAGGCCAAGGGGGGAAGCATTGCTTGAACCTAGGAGTTTGAGACCAGCCTGGGCAACATAGTGAGATCCCATCTCTACAAAAATATAAAAATTAGCTGGGCAACCACACCTGTAGTCCCAGCTACTCAGGAGTCCAAGGCAGGATTGCTTGAACCCATGAGGTTGAGGTTGCAGTGAGCTGCGATCCACCACCACACTCCAGCCTGGGGACACAGCAAGACTCTGTCTCAAAAAGAGAGAGAGAGAGAGAGAGAGAGACAGAAGAAGGGAAGGGCAGGGAGGGAAGGGAAGAAAGAAAAGAAAGGAAGGAAAGAAAGGGAAAATCCTCTGTGGAAAGCCAGATCACCATGGTGATGTTATCCACTGAGCAGAACATAAGCTTGTGGACACTTTATTTACTTCTGGTTTTGTTCATCAAAGGATTTAGAGCATCTTGCAAAAATACTTACACCTTAGCAAAATGAAACAATTAAAAACAAGAAATATGAAAACGAGGCCAAGAGAAGTGGAGACAAAAGCGACACTAAAACGGGGGTAAGGTTAATTACAGAGAATGTATGCCATGTGGCTCTACGCTCTTCAGCAACGGGTATGAAGCAGGAACTACCACCACACAGAAAACTCTTTGGCCACGGGAGAAACATAAACAAAGAGCTCAGAACCATGAGGCCTCCCTGGCTCCCCAGTGCTGAGATTAAAGAGGAACTCTGCCCCCTGGATTCCCATAGAGAGACAACATGGCTGAAGTGAAACACCATGTTTAGACTCCACGCAGCCGGCCACAAGTCTGTGAGGTGGTTCCTTACACTTTTCCTCCATGTATGCTGATTGCATCTCACCAAAGAGTTCACTAAAAGCAACTCCAGGGCGTGCGGCGGGGAAAGTGCAGCAGGAGATGAACAGAGTGCGCCACGCCACAACACTGCTTTGATGTTCCAGTTTTATCCAGAGATGAAAAATGACTTCATGGGCCGGGCACAGTGGCTCATGCCTATAATCTCCACACGTTGGGAGGCCGAGGCAGGCGAATTGTTTGAGCCAGGAGTCCAAGACCAGCCTGAGCAACATAGCGAGACCCAGTCTCTAAAATAATAATAATAATAATAATAATAATAATAACGGGCAGAGTGTGGTGGCTCACACCTATAATCCCAAAACTTTGGGAGGCCGAGGAGGGCAGATCGCTTGAGGTCAGGATTTCGAGACCAGCCTGGTCAACATGGTGAAACCCCATCTCTACTAAAAATACAAAAATTAGCCGGGCATGGTGGTGAATTCCTGTAATCCCAGCTACTCAAGAGGCTGAGGCAGGAAAATTGCTTGAACCCGGTAGGCAGAGGTTGCAGTGAGCTGAGATCACACCACTGCACTCCAGCCTGGGCAACAGAGTGAAACTTCAGCCTAAATAATAATACTAATAATAATAATAAAGAAAAATGATTTCAGATATGCTTCAGAAAATTCAGGATAAAAAGTTTGTCTCATTCAAGTTTCTAAAAGATTTAAAGAGGCAAAGAGTTCAAAACTGGTTGCCCCTCCAACAAGAGATCCAGTGTCCTTTAAGGGGGACACTGTCTCCCCTTCAGAAAGCAGAGGAGTCACACAAGGACAGCTTCCTGTACGGACAGACCCCCTCCATCTCCTAAGTAGAAAGGGAGGTGAGGCTCTGCCCTTCGGGAAACAAAGCTAGAAACGCCACCAGCATGATTTATCACGAGCTCCAGGCCTCAGGCCTTGTACCATTTTCTGCACGAAAGTGGAGACGTACTCCAGAGTCGGGATGGACTGGGTGTCCTCAGGCACAAGCACTCCCACCCCATCCTGGAAGGGACTAGGAAGGGCACTGTCGTGCCTGGCTGCGAGACCCCTGTCCCTTTCACCCCATGGCTGACCACCCTTCTGCTTCTGAAGAACTGGCTTTCTGTGCCTGGAATTGCCAGTTTTAGATGATCTGGTACAGTCCAGCACTGGGCTTCCTCCTACTCCTGACTTACACACCTCTAATCTTCACACAGTTTAATCTCAGAGAGGATTTTCTTAGACAGAGGGGACAGGGGGTCGCCATCTAATTTTCTTCCTTTCTTGAAAATGTCTTTTTGGTGTCTCTCTCTCTCCCCACTCCCCTCCTCCCCCACCCCGCCCCTCCTCTCCTCTCTCTCGTTCTCATTCTTTTAACAGACTTTTAACCGACAGGGGTAGTGGTGAGAGGAGGAAGCAAACGCTGAAAATACATGCACACATTCACAGACACACACGCACCCAAGCCCCACAGCGTGTCCCTTCTGATGCTGTGTGGTCCGTCCTTGGGATGGGGTAGGGGGAAATCCTGGGGACTTCAGAGTGACAGGAGGAAGGAAACCATGGGTCCGCAGTCCCTAACTGGGACTCAGAGGCCCCCTCTGAGCCATCTTCCAGGAAGCCATCTGCAGCCACCACCCACCTCCCCTGCAAGCCCAGTGAGATGCCCTCCCAGGGGCTCCACAGCACGTTGTGTTAACTCGGCCGGAGCACTCACCAAACGGCCCTGTGGTGTTCACTTCAGAGGTCCCAGGGCTCGGAGTCCAGCCTTGCTCACTCAGAAATCCCAGGCACCGAACAGTCATTCAACAACCGCTTTCTGACCAGTAGATTGATTCTCCCATCTCACAGCCTCACAGCTGCCCTTTACGTTAAACACTTTAAACCCTATTTTAACAGCCAAGGAAACAGAGACTTCAACTGGTTAAATGATTTGCATAAGACCCTGTGGCCTACGAAAACCAGAACCAAGATTCACCCCATTCATCTGTCCTGGCCGGTCACTCCCGCTGCCTCCCCACAAAGAGAACTGAACCAGCGCGGGCAAGGAGGAGCAGCCAGAGCCCCGAGGCCCAAGGCCCATTTTCTTGGCCCTAAACATGCCCCCTCCAGGATTCTCTGTGCAAACGGTCCTAGTCAGGTCAAGGTGAAAAAGCAAAGACTTACTTTCTCAAAACCACCTGCATCAGAAATGTTCTCTGACATGGCAAAAGAACAGCTTACTTTTACTTTAATAGTCTCCTGTGAACAAAGACCTCTTTTACTGAGGTTTTTAAAATAATGTGACAACTACCTGTGTACCCTGAACTCATGCATAAGCACTATGTTTGCTCATTGCAAAGCTGTTATGCTACTTACACCAGCGAAAACTCTTAATGACAATTGTAATTGTATGAATAGTAAATCTTAGAAACCTTGAGACATGATTCATCTACTAAATAATTTCAACGCTGGGTTAGTGAGATGCCTTTGCCTCCCCCTTGCTATTAGCATATTAACTGAAATGATTTAGATTCAGTGGGTAGCTTTTAATGTTTACACAGACCCTCATTTATGCCACCTAATAAAATATTTCAGTGAGTTGTGAAGATAGGTAATATGTACTAAAACCTTGTCTGAAGGCTCTGAATTTCAAACCCAGGCCATTAGTCATATTGCAATTATTCTCACCCAGTTCCCCACTGGATGATGAACAACTGTATTAAAACAAAATATCCTTTCTTTCTGATTGAGAGATTTCATGATGAGAACTATAAAATGTTAAGAGAATGATCTTAATTCTGATGTAACTTTTAGTGTAAAAATACATTGATATAAAATACTTTCTAAATTCAGAATATTGAAATAGCTTCAAAATGCCACAGGCTAGAAATCTCATGGGTGATTTCCTCTTTATGCATTTTAATTCATTGTAAAAAAAAAAAAAAAAAAAAAAACCACCCTGCCTAACCAGATAATAGCATTTGAAACATCTTCTAGCTTCCCTCTTATTGCCATAACCATAAAAACACCATTTCCCCTGCTGTTACTCTCATCATTTATTTTCTCTTTAAATATGTTAATGTATCATAACATATTGCTTTTTGTTTCAGTGAATATTCGGTTCTCAGGATTCTCAACTGCCATGTTTATTCTGGTTTGTTTGCCCTGGA